CCCCAAAACCCCAAAACCCCAAAACCCCAAAACCCCAAAACCCCAAAACCCCGATTTAATATAGGAATATTGATAATAATTAAAAGATGGATCCAGTTCCAGATAGAGTTGTAACAGACTTCGACCCTCCCCCTGCCGAGCCAATAGATGGTGAAACATTGTTCCCTAATACAGGGAGTCGAAAAAAATGTGTCCCAGATTGGAAGGCCTTGAAAGATCATTTATCTAAAGAAGGAAGGGTTTCCAAGGAACATTGCCATCAAATTTTGAATGATACTCTGAGCATGCTAAAGAAAGAGCCAAATTTGCTAAAACTGAAAGACCCAGTAACAGTAGTAGGAGATATACACGGGCAGTATTATGATTTTGTTAAAATGTTGGATGTCGGAGGGGATCCAGAGAATACAAAATATTTATTTTTGGGCGATTATGTGGATAGAGGCTCCTTCTCTGTAGAAGTCGTGCTGCTAGTATACTCAATCAAGCTCAACTACCCTAAAACAGTATTCTTGCTTAGAGGTAATCACGAGTGACGGCAAATGACAGGGTTCTTCAATTTTAGGATTGAAGTCCTGACTAAATATGATGAAGAGACATATAATTTATTCATGGACACCTTTGATGTGCTGCCGATTGGATGATTAGTCAACAACAAATTCTTAGCAATCCACGGAGGTATATCTCCAGACCTCAAAACACTTGAAGACCTCAATAATATTAAAAGAACAAAAGAGCCTCCCAGAACAGGACTCTTTTGTGATATTTTATGGTCAGATCCAGTAGAAGATGACAGCGGGTACTGTGAAAGCCTGTACAAAACAAACGAGGTCAGGGGCTGATCATTCTTCTTTGGCTCCGACGCAGCTTCAAAGTTCCTAAAATAAAAACAAACTGCTGTCAATCATCAGGGCGCACGAAGCACAGCTGGAAGGCTATAAAATGCACAAATGGAACGCAAAGTCGGGGTTCCCTGTTGTGATAACAATATTTTCTGCGCCGAACTACTGAGATGTGTACAACAACAAGGGCGCCATTATTAAGTTCAAAGGGGCAGAGATCAACATCCAGCAGTTCAACTACACTCCGCACCCATACATCCTGCCTAATTTCATGGACGTCTTTAGTTGGTCGATGCCCTTCGTCATCGAGAAGGTCACCGAAATGCTGTACAACGTGCTCAAGTACGAAGGCTCTGAAGAAGCGATGGACGAAGACGCCGCTGAAGTAAGTGCAGATGCAGTCAAAGACAAACTCAGCGAGGAGGCCAAGACATCACAGAAGCAGAGGTTCCAAGCCATGAGGAACAAGATCCGCTCCATCGGTAGGATGGCCATCCTCTTCAAGACTCTCAGAGAGGAGCGGGAGAACATCACCAAGCTCAAGGGGCTCTGTCCTGGCTACAAGATTCCACCCGGCGTGCTGTCTGGAGGCGCCGGTGCCATCGAAGAGGCTGTGGCTCAGTTCGAGAAAGCCAAGAAGATGGACCGAATGAATGAGGGGATGCCCGAAGAGTACAAGGCTGAGTAGCCCATATTGCTTAAAAAGGTAATTTAACACCATGCAGAATCCTAAGCGCTGTTCTCGAACTATGGGGCCGGGCAGTGTTCCGAAAGTGGTTGGTTTTCGTAAGGGCGTAACAATTACTGTTAAGTTACATTTTAGTGATCCCTCGAGTGTGCTTGTATGGCTGTATAGTAACAATATTGTATTGCTTGTCATCAGCCAGAGTGGCAATGCCAATGTGTCTGCTCGTTCGGATGTAAATGCTGAGTTCGCATAATTCTACAGAGCCAGCAGTCACAGGAATCATCGAGCATTCACAAAGGGCTCCGCTCATTCGAATATTCGTGAGAACCCAACCGAGGCCTCTGGACGGGCTCAGAGTGGTCCCTGATCTCTGCGGCCAGAGCCACCGGTTGGAGGAGCAGTGCCTCATTGGTGTGTTTGCACCCATGTCCACTCTGGTCTCGTTAGCCATAGTAGATTAGTTAGATTATTGCATTTGCAGCGGGTGAGCAGCAATCTGTGGTTGATGATATGTGGAGCATCCTTTCTGATTTCAACCAAAGTCAAAATCAAAGGGGTTTTGGGGTTTTGGGGTTTTGGGGTTTTGGGGTTTTGGGG